AATAGAAAAGCTAGTATGTAAGAAATTGTGGTATAGAATGGTGAAGGCACCAAATATCTCTAAATATCTCTGTAAATAATGACTTACAAACTATGGATAGATAGCGGTTTACTTCACTTTATGTTCCTTAAGCGTGAAATTTCTGCTTTGAAGCAACATCTAGCAAGTTATAAAATAGTTGTAATAGATATGAAAAGAAGGTTGGCTGGGCATTAAGTTTAGTAGAAGTTTTATTCATTTGTAAAGTGTTTGTTTGACCATATTTTTGCTACATGATAGGGGCAAAATAAAGACCTTGTAGGACGTACTTAGTCATGACAATTTCAAGCACCAAACTGTTGATTTGATACAAGCACGAATTTTTTACTGACATCGTATTAGGAATCATCAGTGCAAGGAGCTATCCTTAGCGCTGACTTACAATTGTTCAATTCATTAGTAAAAATAATCATCTTGAGTAGTGGAACAACCCATCCTATCCATAGCGCTGTATCCCCATCATACAACGCCTCTTTATATAGTCAGTTTTCCTATCCAAACCTTTCTATGCCTTCCTTTTTAGTATCGTATCCTGAATATGCATCTTAAGTGGATTTGGTGAACCATGTTCACCTTCAGCCGTATTTGTATTTGTCTACTATGGAATTTCTACATAGGCACTACAGAACAGACATCTTCATTACTTTATTGTTATCTGCTAGTTCCTATTGCCCTTATAAATCACTGCCTTATCTATGTGGCTGTATATAAGACTTCGATTCAGGCTAATTTTTCCGTCATATTCGTGTAAATACTCACATAAGTGGTTTTGAAAATATGATTTAAAATTCGCGATGACTACTCTAATCAGCGACAAGCTCCTTTATTGCACTTTAAAAGTCTCACAGGTTTCGGAAACCATGTCCCAGTTATCCTTTTACACAGTTCCCACTACCCTCCATTCTCTCAGTCTCTAGGGCCCTGCATCTGACCTCCTTTTGACACGGAATTTTTGGGATCTACTATCCCACTTATCCTCTCATTTTTCCCTCTTAACTTATCACTTCTATTTAATTTAGAGTTTGCACTCAGCTCAGCATATGTAGATGAGTTAATAAAAAGGTTTGTCATGAATGCACTTGTAGTGACTTTACTCCACAACCTGTTTGGCTATATTTCAAGGTCATATCTCGACTCATGCAGCACCAAACTGAGCATGAATCACCGTCACTGTGTCCCATGGGGAGTAGGCGGGTTTAGTCATTACATCGAGCCTTTCCTATGAGGCAATAAGAACGCGGCGCTAAAATTATACAATAATATTTTAAGCCAGAAAGCAGCTCGACTGGGAACAGTGCCCCATTGCCCTCACCTGCCGTCGTAACATTTTGTAACAGAACGCTGTCCTCTTGCACCAGAAGCATCGTCTGAGATTTTCCCATATCGAGTTACACGCCTGTAACCTTCTTTGTTACATACAAGACACTCTGTGACTCGTTTTCTTGTTCCTCTGTACAAAGCTGTGGTAATCCATACGGTAGCGTGAAGCCGAGCACATAACTATAGTGACTATTAAAATTGTTTGACCTTGTTTTCGCAACTTGTTCATATTGGTAGGAAGACTTGAAGGAACGCACCTAAACCGGAGTCCATTGTATACATCATCATTTCCATAGTAGGGCCGTAGGCGTGGTACATTCCTAGACGTTTCGCCGGCATCGCAGTCGGCATCGTTACTGAGTCTCGCCATTCATAGCACCATATTACAACTCGTCAAAGAAACAAGTAAAGGCCATCCTTTGACCAAACGTGTGATAAACATTTGCGGTATCTCCCCTTCTGCCCTGGGCAATTCGCATTTCCTATATCCTCCTATCATACCTTCCCTGTCACAATTTTTACCGTGCTTATTTCCATGTAGTGTGGTGTGCTCCTTCGAGCAGCATTCATAT